TTTTTTATTCACTCTCTTTGTAAAGTAATATATATTTGCAGGGAAAAAACAGTTTATAAAAAAAACACACATTAAACTGACATTTTTAAAAAAAATCAATAAAACTGGTTTAAAGCAGAGGAAAAATAATTGTTCCAGTTACCTTGTGAGTGCTGAGTTCTTTACGAGTTTTTTTTAAAAAAATATATTTTATTGATTTTTTACAGAGAGGAAGGGAGAGAGATAGAGAGATAGAAACATGGATGAGAGAGAAACATCAATCAGCTGCCTCTTGCACATCTCCTACTGGGGATGTGCCCGCAACCCAGGTACATGCCCTTGACCGGAATCGAACCTGCGACCCTTCAGTCCGCAGGCTGACGCTCTATCCACTGAGCCAAACCGGTTTCGGCTTTTTTTTTTTTGAAGAAGCTGATTTCTATAGCTGCTTTCACCCTGGGGTGTTTGCTGATTCAGCAGAAATCAGCAGCTGGCGGGAGGCTGGGATTAGCATTGGCAAGTAAAGACACAGATCCACAACATGTGTGTAATTTTCACAGGCATCTTCTCGAGGAAGATAACATCCCTAGAGCAGTAGGGTGGGTGGGTGTGTTGGTGTGTGTGTTGGTGCAGATGGAGGTGTCCAGAAATCTGATGTTAATTTTTTAAAGCACCCCATGGTAGCTCTGAAACAAAACAGACCTTACACATTATGTACAAATATCCAGTATTTTTCTCCATGAAAAGATGTTATAAAATTTATGTTTTGGGTAGACTATGATCACCTAATACTTCTCATACCAACTTATACCTGATTTCCCATACCACTGCCTAGAGTAAATGTCTGTATTATACCTTTTATTATATAACTAAGCACAATCTGCCATACATAAAAACAATGCTCTAAAATTAAACTGAAAAAGTATTTTAAATATAGCACCATAAAAGCAGTGATAATGACATCAAAAGGTTACTCTAGTATGCCTTTCAAATGGTGACACATAGAAGAAATATTTCAATCTTAAGAAAAACTGAAACTAAAAACAATGCATTATAACAACCATCTATAAACATTTTGATAAGAAAACTAGGCATTTCATGTCAAGAATAAGAGAAATCTTCTTATATATAGCCATTTAAGCCTAGAGGCAAATCATATTAAATGAAATTAGTTTGTACAGAGCAAGTACTCTGTGTAATAACTGTTTCACTAAACAAAATCTTGATCACGTTTAATAATTTTAAAATGTATGTAAGTGGTAATACCCAGAATTCCATTAAAATTATATGGGTAACCACTTTTGTTTTAAGTAAGATAAGTTAAACACTTACCTGAGTTTCATACAAGTGGGCAATGTGAAATTGAACTGCAAAGATAGTGAAAAATAGAAATCAATACACAAGTGTTTGGGATAAATTAAGTAAGAATATAAAATGTAAAACGTAAGCACGGTCTACACTATATAGAATTAATAATGGAGCATAACTTTTATTTTTAATAAAATAGAATATAAAAACAAATACATACAATCATAATAAACCACATGTATTCACTGTTGGTTATTTATCAAATTTTGTCAATGTAATTACTAAAATACTGAAATCTACAGCAAGTGAGTATTCTTTTTTTAAAATATATTTTATTTATTTTTTACAGAGAGGAAGAGAGAGAGATAGAGAGTCAGAAACATCGATGAGAGAGAAACATCGATCAGCCGCCTCCTACACACGCCCCACCGGGGATGTGCCCGCAACCCAGGCACATGCCCTTGACCGGAATCGAACCTGGGACCCCTCAGTCCACAAGCCAATGCTCTATCCACTGACCCAAAACCGGCCTTGGCATATTACTTCTTTTTTTAATTTTTTTTCAATTACAGTTTATATTCAGTATAATTTTGTATTAGTTTCAGTAAGTATACTTCTTACAAAGTTCAAAATGGCCACATTAAACAAATAAAGAAAATTTTTTATAATCGTATACATTTCAAAAAATGGTATTTAAAAACTGAGTTGTTGCCGAAACCGGTTTGGCTCAGTGGATAGAGCGTCGGCCTGCAGACTGAAGGGTCCCAGGTTTGATTCTGGTCGGGGGCATGTGCCTTGGTTGCGGGCACATCCCTAATGGGAGATGTGCAGGAGGCAGCTGATCAGTGTTTCTCTCTCATCGATGTTTCTGACTCTCTCTCTCTCTCTCTCCCTTCCTCTCTGTAAAAAATCAATAAAATATATTAAAAAAAAACCTGAGTTGTAGGTGAAAAATATAGTCACTATTCGTAAAAAACATATTAAAACAGAAAAAAGCCAGTAGTATTTTTCTTATACCATATTTCATATCAGCAACATTTATAAAGAAGTCATAGACCCAGGCTCACACTGGTAATAACACAGAGAATGAAAGTAGTTGTTGCATTTCTCTACCGGTTCTTCAGAATATTTTTTAAAGTCAAATCATTTGGAAGGAAACAATAATAGTCACAAGATTAACAAGTATGTCTTGAAAAATCAAATAAAAATATGTCATCTTTTATTTTCAGCTCTTCCTGATAGTGCATCACCAGAGTATGAATGATCCAATGAAAGCAACAATGAATCAGGAATCAAAACTGGATTCTAGCTACTTTTATACTCATTTTCATTATTTAAAGACAGTGGTCTATCTATCTGAATTTCATAGCTGGAATTCAAGGAGCCTGGGAGCTTTTCAAAATTATATGCAGGATATGATGTGGATCTTTACAAACAAGGTCCACAGCTATCATCAATTTCTTATTGGAGAGTGCACCATGAACTGTTTCCTGTAACTTTAAGATTCACCTGGAAGGCTTGTGAAAAATAGAGATTCCCAAGATTATAATTCAGTGAGCCTGGGCAAGGCCTGGAAAGCTGCCTTTTTATTCAGGTCTGCAAGGGCTCCTGCTCCCTATTCCCTTGACCACCTGTGACTTGAAAACAGCTAATCTAAAAAACCACGAAGATCAAAACAAACAAAATAGATCATGAACTTTAAAAATAATACCACTTTGGGGCCAAAAGTAAAGAACTAAACAACTCCATAAACAATAATTAAATAATAATATCACATGTTAATCAGAGATGAGGCAAAATAAAAGATGAAAATCAGTTTTGTGAAAAGCATACAAAAATAATAAAGAAAAGTTCACATATGTAAATATCTTATTCCCCACTCCCCTTTCCCAATACAGCTCTCCTTGAGTTCCAGTCCACATCTCACCTGACTGCATCATTGGAGGGAGACTGGGTTACAGGTTAAGGGAATGTGGAAGAAATGAAAAACCTATGCCCACTTCCCCCAATCTTCTTACTCCTCTAATAGAGGTAACAAGGAAGGAAAGATGAGCAGCCAGCTGGCACACATACTACCATCCCAAACTTCCACCAGGCTCACTCCTAGGCCTTATGTCAAGGGCTTCCCTCTATCCCATGAGTTACTAAATCCAGTGTTATCTTTTGTAGTGTGAAAACGACCATGTATTTAAATTCTTAAAAGCCTTCTTCAAAGTAGAGCATAAGCATAGACCTAAGAAAAAACTCCACTTGGCAAGTCTCAATAGCAATAGAAATTTTGAACAAATATTGCCATAAAAGTTTCTGAAATTAAACTTTATTCAGAAATTAATACATTAGTTTTAGAATTAACAACATTTTTAAAATCTCAAAGAAACAATTTTATCCCAAGGGGCAATCATATAATGAAAAGTCTCACATCATTACAATTCTACTTTTCAAAACACTAACTGTAGTTAACCTCTCAAATAGCTCTAGAACAGGGGTGGGCAAACTTTTTGACTCGAGGGCCACAATGGGTTCTTAAACTGGACCGGAGGGCTGGAACAAAAGCATGAATGGAGTGTTTGTGTGAACTAATATAAATTCAAAGTAAACATCATTACATAAAAGGGTACGGTCTTTTATTTCAATAGTTTTATTCATTTCAAACGGGCCGGATCCAGCCCACGGGCCGTAGTTTGCCCACGGCTGCTCTAGAAACAAGTGTATCTACTTATTTTTTAATTGCATAAATGAATTGTGCCATAAAATACAAATCTCTCATACAGACTTTTTAAAAAGCTCACTTTACTATTATCTTCTGGTCTTTCAGTATCATGAGGTAACATGAAGAGTTCAAGGTATGTGGCATGTACAATAGGTAAAGACATTAAAAATGCAGAGAAATAAGTTTTACAAAGGCAAAGAGCTTGGTGTTGAAACAGTAGTAACGTCTGGCTCAAGGTAGATAACCTACCCTGCTCTGTGAGACATCAGCCACTAATGCAGTTATCAAGTAATCATGAAGACTGTCTAAAATAATCTACCTAAATCAACTGAACTATAATGTCTCTAAATAAAACACATGCCCTTCCATTAGAATAACCAACCTTTTAGCACTCAAAGTCCTGAATCCAAGGAAACTCCCTGAGAAAAAGAGGATGTTGGTCCCCTCCCACCTACTCCCCTTTTCAATAACCAACAGACAAAGAGGCACAGTAAACTCAAAGATGTATTCATGATGGTTTGAACTGTCCTCTGCAAATTTGGCAGGAAAGTTTTCTGTCCTGTGATATTCACTCTACATAGGTGTCCTCCACTCAGGAACAATGACCTATAAGTGAGATTTTACCTCAACAGAGAAATGAGGATTTACCAAAATATTTGGTTTCACATTTATGAGAAAGGCCTCAAAAGTTATTTAAACTGACATATAGTTATGAAACTTGGCTTTAACACGTTAAGCGCCCAGCCTGTTTTGTCTCCCGGACGGAAAGTATAGTGTCAGTCACTGGTGACTGACATGGGGTTTAATGTGTTAAGACACTATATATAAAAAATTAAATGAAAGTTAGCTGTTTTCTTATTTCCATAAATTAGATCATCTATATAACCTGGGTATATATTTATGGAAAAATTATAAATTAAGACCTTATAAATTAATACACCTATGAGTTTAAATTCTTTTTCTAATCTAACCCCATCTTAGAAACTAAAATATTCCTGTGACTGTTACCTGCCCATAATTTATTCTGCAAATACACTGATCAGTACAAAATCCTGAGTTTCATTTAAAGAAATGAGAAATGTTTTCTCAAAAAATTGCCTCTTAGAGAAGTATGAGATAATTGGTCTGGTTTAGACTTACTCCTTCTTAAGCATTTTTAACACTGATACTATTTTTTACTTAACACCTTTCTATATAGTTAAAAAAACAGTCACTTATAGCAAAATACAGACTGAACTTTCCAAAATCTAGAGTCCTTTAATCTTAAATTTTCATTAAGAATGATTGATTTTTTATATATTCTAATTAAAATTTTATATTTCAAGTAAGAAAGTTTTAAAGAAAGCCAGCTTGGACCCAAATGAATATTCTTAAAACTTTTATTGGCTACTTTACAGTACACTAAATAAACATGACAATATATACTTATTGATAAACACATCATAATCAACCCAATCTGCTTTTGGAAGGAAACCTACACAGAAGCAGAAAGTAACTGAAGAAAACCACTATATCAGAACATGCTTCACACATATATTCTTTTTGAATTAATTGAAAAATGTCATCTCCAACTTTATATATGATGTGTAAAAATATAATAAAAAGACCAAGTATAGCTTCATTATTACCAGTAATTTGGGAATCACTGAGCTACCACATGTGAATCATTGTATACTCATTTTTCTTAAAAAAACTAGCAAACCCTGTTATTAATCCCCCGTATCACCTACAATATAATTAATACATAAATAACCAATCTTGCTTATTGGTGCAGGTAATTTCCATTCAACCCCTCAGTTTACTGGTATATCTATTTTAGACACAGGCTGTTCACAATAACTGGTCTGCCATGTTCCATCTGTACAAGTAGCCATGGCAACCAATACAGTTAGCTTCAACAATTCTAGAAGAAAAAAAATCACACAGGATTTATCACTATCATCATTATTATTACTACCGCTACTATTTGCCATGAAGTGATTTGAATATATGTAGAAAACTATGACAATTAATACTTACTTTCAGCATTCGACAAAGTGCAGGGATTACAGTCAACCAAAGCTAACTGCAAATGCTGTAAGAAGAGAGTGAGAAAATTAATGCACTAAATTCAGTCATATAAATATGTCTTAAAATAATTTTCAGGTATGTAAGGTCTAACATAACAGAACTATAATATGCAAATAAACCATACTAGACAACCAACTAGAATTACTCTGAACATTTACTGATGGCAACAGACAGGCTGTGGAGAATGGAAAACCTGGGAAAGAATTAACTTTATCAAATTACCCTATGCATATTTTTGTTTATATGAAAAAAGCTTTGGAATTTTTAGTCTTCAAATAAATAAAAAGTATCCTCTATAGTAATAAAAGCATAATATGCTAATTAGACCGGATGGCTGGATGACCTTCTGGACAAACCTGGAGTTGCAAGGGCCGAGGCAAGCTGCCGCAGCTGCGAGGGCCAGACCCCTTGCACAAATTTCATGCATCGGGCCTCTAGTATATAATAAAATGGTAATATGCAAATTGACCCTAACAGTGGAACAACCAGGAACGACCGGTCACTATGACATGCACTGACCACTAGGGGCCAGATGCTCCCGGGCTGCCAGAGGGATGTCTGACTGCCAGCTTAGGCCCAATCCCCCCACAGGGAGTGCGCCTAAGCCGTCAGTCAGACATCTCCCGGGGGGTCCCGGACTGTGAGAGGGTGCAGGCCAGGCTGAGGGACAACCCCCAATCCCAAGTGCACCAATTCGTGCACCAGGGTTCTAGTTAATTATAAAATAGTTTAATCAGAACACATCACTATTTTTAAAATGGAAAATAAAGGTCAATGGCATTAATGTCAGAACATCATTGCTTATCTCAAAATGAGATGTGAACATTTAGAAACAAAAAAATTACTATGAGAATTATCATAAAGGGTGAAACTATATGCCCTTACTGATTCTTCAATAATCACTATACTTAGTGCCTTTGAAATACTACAAAGAATGTACAGGCTATAAATAGCTTGTGTTCAAGTTCATTTATGACATATAATTACCCTTTTAGAATGTGCTATCATATGTGTAATAGTTATAATATCCACTTATAATGTCATATAAATGTGCCTAAAAAAATACATGTTAAATTCAATGTATAACACTAAGTTTTAAGAACACAAATCATAACAAAAAAACACTGGGTAACATCTAGTTTGTCAACATTAAGCCTAGTATGTAAACTAAGAGAACACAAACAAGTACTAGAATTGGTATGAAATCTTTAAGATAAAAAAATTAAAAATCTTTTAACCTCTAAAAATATTTTCACAAATGTATATTCAAATTTTTAGCATTTAAAGAAATCAACAGCCAATATACAAATCACTTTTAAAAAATTGACCACAATAAGCTCATTCCTATCTACTGCTGGGCAAACTGAAATGCATAATGACAATTTCTAGATGTAAGTTCATCTTTCTTTATCAAGAGAAATAATCATCAGCAAGTTTTCAGTACTATTTTTCAACACAGAATCAACAAAACGGCACTTGGTCAACTAGATCCCTCAGTTAACAAAAATAAACAAATATCAGCTATGCAGTGTTACAAGGAAAGAAAGATTAGAAGGCATCACTTGGTATGAACATAGTAATCATATTAATTCACGAATGTCTGTTATGTGCATGCATAATTAGGCTAACCTATATTTACAGTACTCTTACTATTTAAGGGTTGTAATATTTTGAATGGGCAAACTACAAACAAAATGACTATGACCCTTAAATATTTAATTATGTAATCAATAAATATTTATCAAGACCTATAATGCCCTTAGAACAATGCAGAAACTAGGGATACAATGATGAACAAAACAAAAGTAAAAAATTATTTGCCGTGGTTGACAGAATGAGGAAAAAAAAAATCCAAGACCTGAACACCCTGAGAACTGCTTTTATTTTCCCTTGGCCTACTAAGCAGATTATATGTCCTCAAACATCCCTTGAGTGCTACTACCATGGCAATATAAAACAGACTTTTAAAAAGTGAGTACTATGAAAGCAACGCATGCTTTATAGCCAACTGCTCTCCTCTAGACGAAAAGAGCAGCACAGCAGCCACACTTTTAGATTCTACTGCATTTCTAAATCTAATCTATCCTGCCAGCACAAATTAATATTTAGATAACACAGACCTCTCCTAACTGACCCATCAAACTACATAAACAGACGTGCAAAGAAACAGCCTTCAAGATGGCAGTATTTTAGTTTTATTATTATACTGAAATCCCACAAAGAGCAGAGAGATGCATAATTCAAATTGCCCAGCCTATATTTCATCTATCAATGCTCAATGAAACCAGGCAGAAATGGTTCTTGGCCATGTTTTATATAATCCTTAATCAACCTTAAAAGCAGCAATGAAGTCACTGAAGCACTATCTGAAACCCACAATTATCATGAAACACTAAACATTTCCAAACAGCAACAAAATAGAAAAATTACAAGAGTACATATTCAAAATCATGCATGTGAGAATGAAAAAACTTAAAGAATTACAAAGTTGAAGAAACTAAGCAGCCACACAAAAAACCACATAAAGAAAAACACTGATACACCTTTCAGTAAACTAAAGGGAGATGAACTGGGGATGACATGACCTCACAGTTTCACTTCTGGTATCTAAACCAGATGCAAAATAGATATACCTATTAACATATAAATCAGCAAAAATGACTACCAATTCTCAAGCCTAAAAATGTCATGGTAAAATATCCAGCACCCAACAGAAGCAGCTTGAAAGTACAAGATGGAGCAAAAGTAGAAATACAGTTGTGAGTGCGCGAAAGTTTATTCTTGTATTTATTAAATATTATATTATTTCCCACAGAACGAACTGTAAACCTACTTTTGCCATACCTGTACATATCTCATACCGAAATATTGCAGTACTGAAACTGATTACTGCTGTGTGAAAGTTATCATGCAGTAGAGGCTTTTGCATTTCAGACTATATACAAACCTCAAGGCAGAGAGCATTCTAAGGAAAATTAATTTCCAAGCCAAGAAGATTTACCTGAGACTTTTTTAAATGCTGCAGTTATTTTCTTTTTATAGAGCACTTCTGGTCCAATTTAACACAAGGTTCGATTCATTACAATTTCTGTTGACATCTTTATTACCAAAGTCACCTTTTGTTTTAAAAGCTTTTGACTTGTGCAATATTTCATAATAACTTTATAGTATTTTGTTTTATATAAACTGAGGAAGTTGATTTCTATCTGGAGGAAGGATATCTATATTCATGTAATTAACACATAAAACTAGAGTTTCAAGACTTCATTTTCCTTTAAATTATTTTACTTCTAGCTGTATAGTCTGTGATTACCTCATGAATCTTTTCAATTGTAGAACCCTTCAACTGTATTCCCAATCCTACAGACAAGCAATGAGATAGCTTTTCGTAACTGACAAAGTATGTATCATTTTATAAATAATTAATTTGGAGCACTGTTTGGATTCCAGATCTAATCTTGGATGTTCTGATTCAGTGGGTTGAGGGTGACACCCTGTGAACCACATAAAAGCTTCTAACAAATTATTCCAATGCCAGGTCAAGGTTAAATGCCACTAAAGTTTTCAAGTCATGTGCTTGCCCCCAAAAACCTTACTTTAGAGTACCTAGCAAGGTGTGTATAGGTGATAACACTGTCTCTACTCATTCAATTATGGCAGACACAGCCTTTTGGGAATAAAAGGTTGGTAACCAGCTTTTACTCTATAAGACAGGCACTCTGCTAAGGCTATGCATACATAACTAAACACAAGGCACACTGAAACTGGTATTGTAACAGAAGTTTAACAGACAATTCCATAATGGAATCCAAAAGATACAGATGAGAGAAGAAAGAAAGAGGTACTTCTGGCTTAGGAAACAATTTGTTTTTATTCCACTCCAACGAAACAAGTTTTTGTGGACCATTTAAGTAAGAGAAGGGAAGGTGTCAGGTACTCTTTCAAGTCAAAGGCAAATTATTTTCCTTAATCATTGTTACAGATCACCACAGTTCCAAAATATGAAAAGTGGTAATCATACTGAAATATATAAATGCAGCAAATCAACACATTGTACACATTAATCTTATACAATGTTATGTGTCAATTTATGTCAATAAGAAATTTTTAAAAGACTAGAATTTTCAAAATACCAGCTGGACGTGTTAAGCTACCATGAAAGAAATAGGACAGAAGCAGGTATCTATATCTATATAAAAGTCTAAGTGACCATTACGACCAACCAGTAGCTATGACACTCACTAACAACCAAGGGGAAGATGCTCAATGCAGGAGCTGCCCCCTGGTGGTCAGTGCACTCCCACAGTCAACCTCCTGTGGCCAGCCAACCTCCCATGGTCCCACCTGATAGGGGACTGGGGGAGACGGCCTGACAGGCAGAGGGGGACCCCACCTGTGCACGAATTTGTGCACCGGACCTCTAGTGGAATAATAATAGCAAATTTCATTTATCTTCAGACAACTAAACTAAAAAAAAAATATGCTGTTAAAGCTTCAACAAAAGAAATATGACATATTTTGGAAACTTAAGGCATGGTTAAAATTAATTTAATAACATCAAATTCTCAGTAAGTTTTGTATAATACAGTTCACAGTATCCTAATTAAATGAAACATTCTGCATTCTACAATAAATAAAAGACAGGAGGCATTTCACAGATTCAAAAGTGTTTTCTAAGAGGAAGTATATATCATCATGCCTTTATTTACTGTTCTGCCTTATTATCTTAGCATAAAAAAAATTACTATAAAACTCCTGAATCTGTATTGGGTATAAGATCAAACAAGACAAATGGAAATGAAGTAGTTCTTGAAGAAAAGAAAGGTAGACAGAAAGAATGTGGAAATGCTTTTTCACTCAGAAGTTTCATGTCATGTGTAACAGTAGAGGGAAGACAAGCTGAAATGAATTGTGCTGTCAGTTTGTAAAGAAAAAACACCTGTTAAGAGATAATAAAAGTAGCTCCTTTTTCTGCCAACCGCCCCCCCCCCCCATATTTCCAGC